GGATCAGACTCACCCTAAGGGTGACGGAGGGAGCACCAGGAGGCAGGGTACGCAGAGGATCAGACTCACCCTAAGGGTGACGGAGGGAGCACCAGGAGGCAGGGTACGCAGAGGATCAGACACACCCTAAGGGTGACGGAGGGAGCACCAGGAGGCAGGGTACGCAGAGGATCAGACACACCCTAAGGGTGACGGAGGGAGCACCAGGAGGCAGGGTACACAGAGGATCAGACACACCCTCTTTCCATTTCGGAAGGTGACTGGCATAAACTGCACCTGCACCTGACAGGGTGGCTGTGATGGCGCTCATTCCCATAATCCCACTGGGTTGTGTGCAGTTTAACTTTTTATTTTGAGAAGTTGGATGGATGGACGAATTCATTAGATCGTTGCCTGTCAGTGAGGCATGCAGGATCACCCCCTTCATCCTTATGTGTGCCCTGCAGATGGAGACGATTCCCATGGCCCCAAGCCCCCATATTTGAAGAATGGTCACACCGGCCCGATCGGCGGCGGTGGCCGGGCCCTGGAAATGGCCCGCTCCTCCTCAGAGTCTGACTACAGGACGAACCCGGCTTGGCTGCCCCAGGTTGAGGAGCGCAGGGGAGCTCCGGGTCTCCGAGCTCGAACCCCGGGGGATGCAGAGCGCAAGGTGGGCCCATTATGGCAGGCGGAAGAGGCCCGGCGGCTTGACAAGAAACCGGCCTTGCAGAAGGCCCCGTCTGAGGACGGCCGCCGCAGCCGGCCCGGCCCTGACACCGACTGGAGGCCCACGCTTCCCCGGCACGCCTCCGCAGAGGAGGGCCGCACACTACGAGGTGAGCCCCATACCTGGCCCCACTTCCTCTGCTGTCCAACGCTTGTGCTGACGCTTTGAGCCAATAAGATTGCTTCGTTGTTGCATCAGTGCTGGAGCTCACTAATCATCACGTGTGATTGGCTGTTTATGTTTGTATAATCGGAGCCCCTTCTCACTTGCCCAGCTGGGGGGCGATCCTCTCTCAAAGGGTCTTCTCTCACTAAGCTCCTTATTTTGTTTCATGCTCTGCTACGTCTGCCTCATTCATCTCTCCCTTTTTGAGCATCCATGAGTGGCTCTTGCTGCCGGTTTGGTTTGATTGTATTTCTGAGACACAAAAGCAGACTGTGTGCGCGTGCGTGTGTGTGTGTGTGCGTGCGTGCGTGCGTGCGTGTGCGTGTGTGCGTGTGTGTGTGCGCGTGTGTGTGTGTGTGTGTGTGTGTGTGTGCTCACTTAGATGCTGTAGAAGGTGGTACATCTTTGCTCTGTTCTGTATCCTGTGAATTCAGTTCAGTTTTTTTATGAAGATAAGATGGAACTTCTGGATCCCTATTATTGGACATTTGTGTTAAGTGTCACTGAAGAGTGATAAATACAACACAGTATAACAAGAAATACTTAAGGAAAGAAAGTTGACAGACATTGTAATTTGTGTAAGTGAATGAATATATAAGTAAATAAAAGCAAGCAAGAAGTGAATATATATATATATATATATATATATATATATATATATATATATATATATATATATATATATATATATATA